TAATTCTTTGGACGGGACTATTTATTGGTTGAGCAGATTTGTGGTTTTTGCAATCAAATACTGGTTTAGCACGACTGGTAAAACTGGAGATCCAAGATTAGCATGCTAGACATCATGATGAACACACGAGCATGGCAAAATGCACGTACGCATGCACAACACTCACACATGTCTGAGGTGCACGGTGTGTGAACGGTGTTATGGTTGAGAGAAAGCTAATGGGGACCTAATATATGGAAGGATCCATCCTCCCGCTCCCTCTAATCTATCAAGTAATGACATGCAGCCACCAAGCTTCCCCAGTGACAGTAGAAAGTCTTAAAAAGGCAAGTGACATTTCACTGGCATTTCACTGAAACGACTCAAGAGGCCCGAACCGCGCTCCTCCCTATATTCGCTCTCTCTACCCCCAGAAATATGTTTGTCATCATCCGGGGGAGGCTTTGCACAAACCTCCAGGGGCCGTGTACACTAACTGAAAACGGATGGAAGCGTATTGTTCGAGCCTTTCCACAACATTGGTACTGTGAGACCTGGAAAGCGTCACAAAGTTGAAGCACCGCATCTGAAAATGAGTGGACAATCATATGACTCTCATTTTGGGAGAACAGTTTATGCTATTTTAACCCTTTGAGGGACAGTGGTTACTTCAGTGGACAGTTTATCAAGTTGTCAAGCGTTAATACCAAACCCTGACATTTTTAATGAGCAAATACAGAGATGGTAAGTATTATTTTTTTTCCTTTTGTGTCCTGCTCAGGCTATCATGGCTTGTACTGTGAGGAGGAGTACAATGAGTGTCTGTCTGCACCCTGCCAGAACTATGCCACCTGCCAGGACCTCATCAATGCCTACGAGTGTGTCTGCACACCACAGTTTGAAGGTATGCCATCACTACACATTATTGATTCGTGCCATGACCCATTATTGAGTTCATTCCATCAAAGGCATCACACTAAGTCTTTATTTGTGTGTTTGTGAAGGCAGACACTGTGAAATTTTCAAGGACCCGTGTTTGAAAATGCGCTGCTTCAATGGAGGGCACTGTGAGAGTTCAGGAAAGAATGCTTCCTGTACCTGCCCACCCGGATACACGGGTGAGTGCTACTACCGGTTGGTACTGTGAACAAGTAACTGTTAAGACCGACGTGCGGAACCCCAGATGTGATATAAAGTAAAAATAAATAAATGAATAAATAATGAAACCTTAATGGTACCCGATAATAAGAGGAATGCACAAGTTTGGTCACTCTGTGTTTACCCTGGTTGTATGATTATTTAAAAACGACAATGACCAGTAATACAAAATGACTTTTCCTTGACAAAATAATCTGAACACAATAACGTTCCTGCCAATCCATCCAGGGGAGCGATGTGAAGTCGACATCAACGAGTGTGAGAGCAACCCTTGTCATCACGGGGGCACTTGCATCGACCAATCACATGGCTACACTTGCCACTGTCACCCTGGCTGGGTGGGGCCTGTTTGTGAGATCCGTAAGTCAGCTTGTCAAAAATAGTCTTGTTCAAGAATTAGGGAACTAAAAAACAGAATCAACTTAAACTTGTGTGTGTGTGTGTGTGTGTGTGTGTGTGTGTGTGTGTGTGTGTGTGTGTGTGTGTGTGTGTGTGGCAGACCTGCAATGGAAGCCGCCGCACTCGGAGGAAACTCTTCCCAACATGCCCCGCCACTCCCTTTACATCATCATCGGAGCGCTTTGTGTGGCCTTTGTCCTCATGCTCATCATCCTCATCGTGGGCATCTGTCGCATTAGCCGCATCGAGTACCAGGGCTCCTCGTGCCACGCCTACCAGGAGTTTTACAACTGCCGCAGCATCGACAGCGAGTTCAGCAACGCCATCGCCTCCATCCGCCACGCCAGGCCAGTCATTGCGCTTTAGCCAGCAAGAGATTGTATTGTGAAAGCGTGTCATACAGCGTGACAAAAAGGCCTAAGGTTCCATGTAACAAGGAAATGTAAATGAAGCATCAAATTACCTAACTGCCTTTGTAATCTCTGGTAAGTAACGTTCGAACCACTAAGGTTCAACACAACGGGGACAGTTGAGCTCACCTGCGTTTGCCCTCGCAAAATAAATCAATAAATTCATAAAATTGGCATCACACATGCACACTCACGATAACACAAAACCTAGATCACTATTCAGCGGTTGGTGAGATTGCACACCCTTACGTGCCCATATCATATCAATCGTAGCACAAACTGTGGATGGTCTACATGGCAACACCATTTCCCATCATGCATGATTGATTTTTTTTAATGTTTTTTTTTTTCTTGCAGATTTGGCAAGAAGTCTCGGCCTGCCATGTATGACGCCACTCCTATCAGCTATGAAGACTACAGTCCCGATGACAAACCTTTGGTTACCCTTATTAAAACTAAAGATTTGTAAAACATGCTTGCACCCACGTACACATACTCACAGGCTTATATATAGGAAAAGTCAATCTGAATGTAAAATGTGAGAACAAAAAAAAAAATCCCAAATTATGTAATCTTTAGATTAAAAGGAACAACTATGGAATTTGATAGATCTATTTTCCTGTTAATCTTCACGCTAAAGGCTTTACTGTAGCATAAGCGCAGCACTGAGACGGTAGACTGATGAGGAGCAACTAACCTCAATACAATACAATACAATACATCCTGATTTATATAGCTCAACTAGAAAATAATGATGTCTGCAAACAACTCTCTTTCTTTTTGGCCTCCTGTCAGGGTCTGCAACTCCGCAGTGCCACAAACCTGACGACAGTCGGCCGGGTTGTTGCAGGAAATAGATATAACTGCGTACGCTGAATATTTTTATAACGCAAGTCAATTCTGCAGTAGGTTGCCTTACTTCACGCATGGTTAGATTTGTTGTTCATCTCTGTAAGATTTTTGAGGTCCTTTTATTGGTTGCTATTTTCCCCTTTGTAGATGTATTACTCTGTAAAGACTGTGCCAAATATTCTTTTGTGGTTGTTCGACAAATACATACATGTGTAAGAATATTACATATTTAAGGGTGATTTTTTTTTTTTTTTTTTAGTAATACCTGATTGTCTTTGTTCTTTAACGTGCAAATTTCTCACTGCTGTATTAATTGTCCAGATTGTGTATTTGCTAGACTTCTGTGATCCTACCATCCTGCTGTGCGTACGTCAGTGAACCGTCGGGTAGACAGTTGATATGATTGTCAGTGCAGTTTACGCAGTGTGCTCTACCTGTTTCTATTATACAACACTAACTCACATCCTTGATCGTACAGTATGGTTTCTTCTGCTGAAATGACCCCTAGATATGCATTCAATACTTATTACTTGTGTTCCCTACGTTAAATAATGCAAAGATTAAAGTGAACCATGTCCGTCAGACGTCATGCCTTGAGTCATTTGACGCGCTCAAAACAAAAAGCCAGATTCTACATTCACCGAAGCATTTTGCCAATGAACTTTGTACTTTACTTTTGTATATGCAACTGGTCAATGCGAATATGAAATTAGCCTGAGTGAATGTCTGTCTGCCACCTAACGAGGTCTTTGACACCAGACTCAACAGTCGGCTGTGGGTCCTTTTATGGAGTGTTTGTCATGTGAAACAGCCTCAGTGACCTCAGGCTTTATCCAGATGTTCCCTGTGTAAACAGCTCTCAACATAGACGGACTGCGACTTCAGACACGTCGCTCAAGACACCTACAAACTATTATGTTTTCACACAACACTGCGGCATGTTATTGGCCCGTTTGACCTTTGCTTATTATCAGAGTGAGAGGCCCTGTCAATGGCATTTGACTTGGCCTTTGTGTGAGTGTGTGTGAGTTGGGCCACATTTCAAGGTGATTCAAATAGCGTGTGGTCGTGATTTTTGAGTTGCCATTTGCAGCATCCACAACATGTAGAAATGTTGAAAATGAAGGATCAAGGGTTATACTCAAACTGCATTATTTTTGTTCATTTGGACAAAATAATCCAATTTGGAGTCAACAGAAGAATCTGCAAACAACGCCCTCCACTAGTCTTGGTGTGATCTCTGCTAAATAGTCCATTAGTCCAATATTTTCTGTCCTACTGACCAACAAGTTAGCAATGAGTTTGTCAAAATGTCCTGAAGCCTTCTGAAATAGCAGCGATCAATGCAGGCGAAAATAAATGCACGGATTACTGATGTACAACAGATATGTCTGTAAGAAGAAAAGTCACTGGTAAAAGCAGGAGTACAGATTCAAGTCATTTATTAAGTAAAAGTAAAGGAAAAAGAGCATAGAATCCAAAATGTAGTTCGCTAATTATAATTTCAAAAAAATACATTACACTTGTGTTTTTTTAACACTTGAAGCTTATGGTTTTTAGGGTGGCACAAGATACAATCCATTTGCCACGTACATTGGAGAGGACAACTTCAAACAATTCTCTGAAATAAGAGAATTGGTGCTGGTTTTGGTTTCGTTGAGAAAGTAAGCGGTAGAAAGTTGAGATATTTGTTTTCAAATGTAGGAAGTACACGAAAAATACAGGAAAATAAATACGCCAGCAAAGTATAGATAGCAGATAGGCATTAAAAACAAATACGGGTATACTGCAGTAGGAATCAGCCCGACACCGAAAAGCAAATTGTCATTTTCCGAAGTCAATGGATGCAGCACTTTGGGAAACGAGACAGACTAGCGGCGACCGCCACCTGCTGGTGAAGAAAGTAACTGTCACCAGGCGGAGCAACACCGCGTTGGTCGTCGACTGGAGGAGGTGGAAGGAGCGCAGAAAGGCAAATCGCAACAGCGAACAGATGTGAACCGGACTACGACCAGAGTACAAGCTGTCGTCTGGACGGAAACCCTGTCATACTACTAATATGTGGCAACCAGCGTCGGAGAGACTGCAGGTAGGATACGACGGCCAGCGATTGCGTTGACTGGAGCCGGAAAATCAAGAATGTGCTGTCTTTTTATGTCGTCTGATTCCCACCGTGATGTGTGAGTATGTGGAGGCTGCTTTCTTCCTGCTGGAGAGACTTGCTGCACTTTGACTTGCTACAGATGTTTTGATTGACTCAAGACATGACCAAAATCGTCATTTTCCACCACTAACCTCGTCAACGTCTTTGTATCTGGTGATACGTTACGTATTCACGGTAGTGGGGCGCACATCTTACCCACAACCCACAGTGAATGTTTTAAACCCCCCCTCCTCATTTTATACCCCCCTACCACCACCAAAAATACTAACGTTTCACTAATGCTTAAAATAGTGGCAAAGGCCCACGACGCCTTTTTTTTTTTTTTTCAAATGAACGTTAACCTCAAGTGTGCAAACACGGGCCTCCCAATCCACCCTCAAAACGCCACGATGTTTGGTTAGTTTTTCTCTTCCGGTGTAATATGGCAGCAAGGTGCATGCTTGACAATGTAAAAAAATGCTCGTTAATAACTTGTAGTTTGTTAAGCGGGGGGCTTTCTTCGAGTCTCCTACAGACATTAATGCTCTCCAGATGTTCGCCTGCCTGTGGACTGCATGGCTGCCAAGTGAACTTGCACAATCCTCTTTTCTGCCCAGACGTCAACAAAATAGAATGATCAATTATTAGTTCCGCAATTTTTTTTTTGTATTCCAGGGTGAGTTGCATTCTGTGGCCGCCGTAAAGTACATCATCAGCTCTCGTCTTCAATTTATGAATATATGCACTCCAAGTAGTTACACAACCAGGGAGACATACGTCGCTTAGCAACCGTAGTCTGTTACGATCATCCGTTGGACAAAGTTCTATAACTTCACTGTTATCCATCTTGTTGTGGTACGCCACGTTAGATAAAATCGTCTTTCTTTTAAAATTATTAAAATTTTTTTTTTTTTTTAAAAACACTGTCGGAAGCTCTTTTAAATGTAAGTTACTAGTATTACTGCAGCTTTGACAACAGAGAGACTGCCTGCAAAATTTAAACGTATATTTTGGAGTAAAATAAAAATTTTTGAGTTTTATTTTACTCTATAAATATAACGGCAACATAAATCAAAATTTCCGATCACAACCATTGTCATTTAGAGCATCTCATGTGTAGATAATAATAATAATCACAATAATAAAGGTCAAAATATCAAAAAGGGTCAAGTGCTTTTTAAAAAAATTTTCAGTGTTGCCTCAAGTTTGAACTGACCAGATTTAGAGGTTGTTGGCAAAGCAGGCTTTTTTTCGCTTTTGCTTTGACTTGTGAGCAAAACATGTACATACCAGCGCTGTCTGTATTAGACTACCCCTTGTGACCAATGTGCCCAATGTGGGGGGCGGAGTGGATTAATGGCATTTGCATTTCTTTCGATTGGGAAAGATGACTTGATATAAAAGTGTTTTGAAGTACTTGCGTGGTCATGGAATTAACTACTTTTACATATGTGACTCTGAAAATTTGCAGGTGCGAAGGAGACCTACAATATAGCAGGCCTCCCATCTCACAACATTTATTGCACCAATTAACTGCCTCGAACATAAAATAAGGGCCACACCTCCACACCACACCACAGCTTGTCATGGTATTGCCCTGCGATGTTCTCTTTTACCCAGTCAATTCGAGCAGGAAATGAGTTTGTAGAAAGTAAAATGGGAGCACTCAATAAAATGATCGTGACTTGACTATAGTTGTTATGCAATCTGTTTTGATCGAGTGGTTTGGCAGACAACCTCAGTCTATTCTTTTGTCAAAAAATGAAAAACAAAAACAAATGCATGATTGGATTTAGTATGAAAAAAATCGGTAAGCACATCTTTATAATCGACCACATTGTGGCATATGTCATTTATGGGACATTCTCAGACTGAACTAATGTTTGTATTAGCAATATGAAATCAATGTTTTAAAAAGTTGCAATAACAATAAATAAATGTCATTCCCCCCCCAGAATAATCCAAATGGATTCATAGTTGAGGCCCAGTGACACTGCAGATTAATTCATTGTGACGGTCTGCCTGTACAACAGCGGCACTGATAAATACAAATAAATTTTTCTATTTAACAGCATCAAAAGAAGTGAAGAACCGCATTATAACTTAAGTGCAGCAGCAGGCTCTTGCCTGCTGTGTAACCATAGTGACAGGCCCCCTTACATTGAGAGCTTTCACATCAGTTGAGTCACGGTAGATGGGGATCATATCGCTAGTTGGTCTCAATTTTATTATATTTTTTTTCCTTTTGTCTTTTTCCCGTTTTCATTCGCGATGGCAGACAGCCATATTCGCACTGGCTTTGCTCCTCTGTTGCCATGGGAACACCTGATGTCTTGCTGCATTAGTCTCTCATGTTTAGGAAAGAAGAAAAGATAGATGGCGGCAAAGGGGTGGCAAGAGTTTGTCAGAAAAGACAGAGATCTGTTGCAGCAAAAATAAAGTCGGTACGTTTATTAATTTTTAGCGTTTCCCTTAGTTCTCATTGTCTTTTTCCCCAAAATTCTTCATCCTCCTCCTGCTAACCTGCACTGGTCTTGGCACAAGTGCACTCTCAGACAATGTTCCTTTTTTTTTTGAAAATCCCTGTGGCGAGCAAGTACGGTTTGTCTTTTCCTGTGTCAGCAGTTCTTTCTTTAGCCTTGGTTTTCCACGTTTTGACACTTAACTATGTGTGACACTTGACAAACAGGATGTTGCTGAAGTAAACATGTGGACATGACTTGTCAGAAATAGATGACTGGTTCTTATTGCGACCTGTGTTTGCATTCGTGTCTGCCTCTTTGTCTTTATTTGCCCATCAATTGTGGATGTTGTAGTTTTCATGGAAACGATTTGAAACATTAAAAAAAAAAGGGACACAACTATACACATGCAACTGCAGTTTCCCTATAAATAAAAACATATTTTCACATTGGACCACTGGCAAAGTATCTGTCATTGCCAGTAATCCATCCCTAATTTTCTCCACATGATGATGAATCAGAAAGAGGAAGCCTCAGTGAAAGATTTCGGTTAGAGCTTTCCTCCGTGCCTTCGAAATTGTGTGACAACGACAGACTATTTGCAAACTGAACAAATGCGGATGGATGAAATTTAATCAGTGCAAGTTGGTCCTCTTGTTATAATGTGCGGTATTTTAGTCTCATTGTAAACGGTTCTAAAATACTTTTAAGCAGTCTGTATCTGCAGCACTTTTTCGCACCCTTTTGTTGTGCTACTCACTAGACACATAGCAAGTATGGCGTACGATTCAGTCATCTATCCATCTATCCATCCATCCATCCATCATCTATGGCCTACTGCAGGTCGCAGGTGTGCTTGTGATCCTCAAGGGCTACTCGGTTGGGCACCTCATTGAATGATCTTTGTTCCAGACTAACCCAGCGAGGATTTTGCATCAGTGTGTCCATCTGTCCAGCCATCCATTTTTTTTCCGATCCGCTTTTCCTCACAAGGGTTGCAGGGGGTGCTGGAGCCTATCCCAGCTGTCTTTAGGCAGTAGGTGGGGGACACCCTGAACCGGTTGCCAGCCACTTGTAGGGCACACAGAGACGAACAGCTATCCGGGTTCACACTCACACCTAGGGACAATTTGGAGTGTTCAATCAGCTTGCCATGCATTTTTTTGGAATGTGGGAGGAAACCGGAGGACCCGGAGAAAACCCACGCCGGGGAGAACATGCAAACTCCACACTGGGAGGTCGGAGCTGGAATTCAACCCGGTATTGTTGCACTGTGAGGTTGACGCGCTAACCACTGGACAACCCAGCCGCTGCACCAGTGTGTGTGATATTAATATGGAACTATTGTAAAGAGTCACACCATCAGGACGAATAAGCTAAAAATCTGAAACAGATGGTCTCGTAATCTTACGTTTGGACACATGGAAGCACTAGTCTCAGTAAAACTGTTTGTCGCAGTGGTCACAGTATATTCATACATTTTTGAAAGAGGCGGGTTATGCCACTACGTTTCCCTACCTTGAGATTGACCTGGGAAACTATTTCCTGTACTGTTTCTATAGGGGAGGGGAATAAAAGATAAATTTACCATCTGCTACCTGTTAAAGTCATCGTTGCAGGAGGCCGAACAGGACAGTCTCCAGAGACTGCGTGCCTGTTCCTTCCTTGCAGCATGTCATCAACTTTCAGTGCTTGCATTTTAGGTGTAGAATTGCCTTTATTAGTATATATTCCGATATTGCATCTTTTAAACAATATGTGTATTGTTGACTCTTTGATTTCACTTGTCAGAAAAAAAAAAATGTCTCGCACCACCAAGCTTGTTTGGTACATTAGAGAAAAATTATTAGTCTAAGAGCGTGGCGTGTAACTTATTAGCAGTTTAGAGGATGAGTATAAACAAAATATAGACCTCTGCTTAGTCATAAAATTGGAGACTTCTTTGAAAGTGCGCATCCTTTGGCACGTCAAAGCCCAAATTAATATTTTATAGTTTCAAAGATTCACGTTAGAATCTTAATTCAAACATTTACTTTGCAGTGATATGTCTAAACTCAATATTCTAACTAGTATCGCAGAAGCACTTTGAGGTCAATATCGAATGAGAGCAGGTGGCAGCACAGAGCAAAATGGCATCCCCTGAAAGCGATGAAAAAGGGTTGATTTTCCTTCATGGTTCACCTACACAAGATTAATCAGATTGCCATCTTTAGACCAGAGCAATTTATTCCAAGAAAAAAAAAATGTCTTGATTTAGGATTGGTTTATGCCGGACGGCATGGCTCAGTGGTAGAGCGTTCATTTCCCATCCCCGAGGTCGGGGGTTTGAACTCCGACCATTGCGACTGTGTTGCAGTGCCCTTGAGCAAGATCATGACCCCCCCCCCCACCATTTCCTCCACTAGCTGTATCATCAGTCGGTGAATAAAATAACTCCACTTTGAGTACCCGAGTTAGAAAAGTGGAAAAGTGCTATACGACTTACAGCCCGTTTTCTTTTTAAAGGGAAAAAAAAACATTTGTAGTGCCTGGACTCATAACTGAAATCCATGATCTCTGTTCATTGAGTGTTTAACCACCGAATCTTGAATCAATTCAAATGGAGTGCTAATTGTACTTTTGCCGGAAAAAAAAAAAGAACCATACAATTTACGACTTTTGTCGTCCTATTTGCTAGCTAGCGCTAAGCTAACCTGGCTATTTGTGTCCCCGTTTCGCTCTGGCGGCATCCAAGAACTCCCGTAATCAAACTCCCTTTGTGTGCTGCTGAAACAGTGTGACAGGCCAGCAGTGAAGTAACAAAGAAAAAGGCATTGACGTCACACCATCTGATCTGAGTCCGCAAATTACGACTCGATTTTTAATTTGCCGTGCCTGCTTGTACCGATGAATCAATTACCGGCCAAATGAATAATCATCGAAAATGGTCGGATGGTTTTGACAGATGGATCTTCAAATTGCTCATCTTATTGTGTAAAAGTTTGGACAACTGAATTTCATTTCAGACTCACTTTCCCATTCAACTCGGCAATTTGACTGAATGGGTCCTATAAATGTTGGGTACATTTCCAAAACGCACGACAGCCAAGTTATTGATTCATGTACGGATCGAGGACCAGGTTTGGGCCACCGTTATACTCCACTACCAAAGTTGTGAAACATGTTTTTAATCCTCCCTGTATATTTCTCAGGGATATACAGTCTTGAGTAAGCTAATTTAAGCATCCCATTTTTGTTTACCATCGACGCTTTGATCAGTGCGGATTAGGCAAGTCGTTCAGACTGCACAACATGGTTGCTGAAATGTAAATCTCAAAACAGAGCTTTTGTGTTTTCTAATCTTGGCTGAGGTTCCTGAGGTTTCCTTGTGACGCCAGCCATTGTGTATTGTAGTGCGCAGACAAGACCTTTGTCTCACAACCAGTCCAGCACTGATCTGACCATGGAGTCTGCCGCTGTCTGCAAGTCTAAATCCAAAATAGAATCAATAAATGTCATCACTTGATGAGAGGACCTCGGGGATATTAGAAATACAAGTAGAAATATTGTGGCTACAATTCCGAGCGGCCCACCACTCATGCCTTTTGCTCCAGGTAAGGGGTGGGGAACCTCTCCTGCCTTCACTCGGTGCCTGGCCTGACCGCAGGAATGTGAGCCGCTGTCAGGAAGCCGTAAAGTGCTGACGCGGAGGTCAGCAAGCGTTTACACACATGTGGCCTTCACAACTCTTGTCAATTTTTGTTCTTCTTTTTCTCCATTTGCTCCTTGCGCTTCTTTCTTCTTGCCATATATCCCTCTGTTATGATACGCAAAGCTCCTTTTGGTTTTCTTTTCTCAAAAAGAGTCCTTGCACAATGAATGTGGCTATGGGCCCTGTAGTGGTTGCTAGAGGTCCGTCACTCCATCACTGACGGGCGCCTGTTTTGCTGACGATGATCAAATGACAGGAAACTTTAAAAAAAAAAAAAAAAAGAGAGAAAGAAAAAAAGACGGACTCAGCATTGAACGGAAGTGGATTTTCACCAGTTAGTATATGTATCGATGGACCTCTCAGTCCGTCACTCAGGGATGCCCGTTTTGCTGACGGCTGACAGAAACGCGGCGCACCAATTTCCACATTTCCGCCCAGTCTAGTGTGTTCACGGGGTGTTTCTTAGAGAGTACTTGTTCACGGGGCTGGATTGAATATGAGCAAGGTTGCCTCCACGGTTTAACTCAATGCATACAGATTTCGTTCTCTCTCCTTTATTAGGTCCGTTGTCTTGCGGTTGTTTTCAATCAGATGATTTGGGCTCTGAATTCTTGTCCTTGAAAATGTCAATTTCATGTTTTTAACCCAGGTAACCATGAACAGGCTCGACTGTGTTATGGAAATTACGCTTATTTGGCCTCAAGATTCGAAGCAAACAGTTGTCTGGTCCAGACTGAAAGTTTGTTCATAAGCTAACCTTTTTCCTCTTTCTCCACAGCACTTTCAGAGCATGCTGAAGACCAAGTTGAATGTGCTGACGCTGAGAAAGGAGCCGTTGCCCACGGTGATCTTCCATGAGCCCGAGGCCATTGAACTTTGCTCCACCACACCACTTACCAAGAACAAAACCCATGCCGGATATAAGGTAAAATCACATGAAACCTTATAATCCCGTAATCCAGCCTTTCCCCCCTGAATACTAATTCTATAATAGTATTACAACAGTCATAATGCAACTTTTCTTCTGGATACACAAGTTCTATTCATTTCTACAATGTGCTTGACCTAACCTGCTACTGTACCTGGCTATCACGGGCCGATTATTAAGATGTTTTAGTTTTGTAATGTCCGTTCTTGCAGTGTGGACAAAGTGCTGCGCACGTGACGCAGACTCAAAATGCGTATGAACAAACAGTAATTTAGAGGCCAAAATAGATGAGAGTTCAAACAACACAATGTCAAAGTTCCTTAAATTCATATGGTGACATGAAGTGAAAGTCAGTCGAAAAGCCCCTGATTGGCGCGCGCACACACACACACACACACACACACACACACACACACACACACACAGAGGCATGGTTCACACTGACTGACTGCCATTGTGATTTTTAATGCACAATCTGTCAAAATATTAGTTGAAATCAGAATGACATTTTTATTATTATTTTTTTTAAATCCCAGGCGATAGGTCCCAGGTTTCGCTCAGTTTTGGAGTGAGCAGGTTCTAACCTTGACAGTTACTCCCAGCGACTTGTTCGCTGATAGCCAGTTAAGTGCTTTTCACGTCGGCACGCATGTCTTAAGTGTGAAAGTGAAGGATTAATATTTTTGCACTTTTAATGTTCAAACTCAGTGTTATTCAGTGACATCATGTGACAAATGGGACAAATTTAAAGAGCGTTTTTCATTCGCAGTCGTTTTTATGGCTCAGCAATTCAAAACTGTTGATGCACAGTCATGGTAGCGGGGCGCATTGTTTCACACCGTTGGCTCTCATTTCCATGAAAGAAGATAAATATTGATTTGTCACCTAGGTGAAGGCTGAACATAGCTGGACTTGATAGCCCTCTCTTCTTGGTGTGAATCCCAACATTCACTTGTAGCCTCTGAGCTCATTGCTCTTTCCAGCGTTGTAGAGGATGGCAAGCTGCGTCGCCATGGATACCACTACCACTATTATTTCGCAGAGCACCAGCCACATAAAAGTAATCTCTCCCATCTGTTAGCGAAACCTCCGAAAATGTGAAGCGGTCCTCCTCAATGCCTCCATCTGCTGGCAGGTGTAACATCCTGTCTGACTCACGACCCGTCTCCACTTTCAGACATTTTTTCCCCTCAATGCTGTAATGAGAGAAAACTGAAGAAACAATAGCGGCTTTGCTCCCCCCCCCCGCCATCTGCCCTGCTGACTTAACATGCAACAGCACAATATGACACCATTTATTATTCTCACAGTGTTTTATATTGTGTTTCCGCCATCCCCTCCTCCAGTTCGTTCCTTTCGAGCCCGCAGTCTCATTTTGCAAACAGAAAGGCTGGCTGAGGACTGCTGACATACTGCCAAAGCTAACAGCTAGCCTGGATGAAAGGCCACCTCTCATTTCCCTGCCTGGTTTGGTGCCGTTAAAGCTGTCCACTTCACATCCATTGAGACACTGTGCTACTTTTCACTTTGCAGCTCGGCCAGAGTTGCAGCGCTGAGACTAAGATTAATTTGGGCGAGTTTGAATTGATCAACATCATATTTGTTTTGTTTTGTTTTAACTCCCTTACTTTGTTACCTCTTAGAGTTTTTCTCAGTTGCTCTTGTCCATTTTGTCAGATCATAATTCACTTTCTCAAAACGACTTGTTCAATTTTCACATCATTGTGTCACTTGAGCACATCAAAAAAAAGCTTTTTCCTTATTTCTTTGAACAGGTGTAGCCATGTCACTGTGTCACGTAAAATTGTCAATAGCGGGTCCAGCTCTTCCATGAGAAAGCTTGGTTTAGTTGCCGATTCAGAACGTATCACCTCACCAACAAATTATACATACAAATTTGTGGGTTAAACCAGAATATCTTTCGAGAGAAAAGACATATTATAAGGTGTACTGGAATATACTGTATAGTGATTCCTTGCGCTCTGTATTTAAGATGTGCATACCAAAGCTTCTTTCATTTTGACTGAGCTACTACTGATTTGACCTAAACCAAAACACTGACTAAGTTTTGCTCTTTACGCATAAACCCCATGCAACGGGCGCACATGGGCGCGCACGCACGCACACACACACACACACACACACACACACACACACACACACACACACACACACACACACACACACACACACACACACACACAGCTCATCCATCTTTGCATGCCTTGGCAAGTGGAGCCAGCTGTGCTGCGCTGATTCAATAAGTTTTGAGGAATGTTAACAACCTCCTCAGGAATGTTGCGTTCCCAAGCCGTGGATTCCCAGTCATGTAGGGGGATCCAGACACGGGGGCCTTCTGAGGGAAAAATGTCAAGTGAGCCTCAGTCTCGGACAGTGCAACATTTGTCTTTTGACCATTACTGTACGTACACTAGTCAGGGCACATTTCTGTTCGGATAGTCGGGCAGTAGTTTAAATGAGGTTGTATAGTCATGTCAATTTGGTCTCGTCGACAGGTATGTGGTCACTGCAATTCTCGCGATGCTATGTGCCACCCTTATGTGCAGGATCTGCTTTCTGCATTTTTCGTGCCCTTCTTCTGTTTGATGACACCAACACTGCCAGCTGCTGTCAGAAAAAAAATTCTATACATTCCTTTGGCAAAAAATCTAATTTTTTTTGCTGAATGCCCATATTATACCACTTTCGTGCATTGGGAAGAAGGCAAAATATTTCTTCTTATGAGTCAGTAAATATAAAACATAACGTGGCTTTATATCACCATAACCATTTTGCATGTGTGAAATAATCAGATGTTCAGGCGTCAACTAACACTCCGGCCTTCCTGTGTGGAGTTTGCACGTTCTTCCCGTGCCTGTGTGTGTTTTCTCCGGCTACACCGGTTTCCTCTTGCCTTCCAAAGACATGCATGGCAAGTTAATGGGAAACTCTAAATTGACCCTCGGATGGTTGTTCGTCTCTGTGTGCCCTGCAATTGGCTGGCAACCACTTCAGGGGTGTACCCCGCCGACTGCCTGAAGACAGCTGGGATAGGCTCCAGCACGCCCCGAGGCCCTTGTGAGGATAAGCGAATCAGAAAATGAATGTATGGATCATCGATGACACAGTAGTGATAAAATATTAAATACTCTTGACACCGAGTCGTTGCTTCTCTGGCCACTGTGCAGGAAATTGCCATTGCTGAAACATCATTAAATATCGTCTCACGTTCCCACATCTGCTCCTCTAAATTTGTATTTCTCAAAATCTCTCTCCTCTCTTTTCTCAGTCCTTTGACCCTTTTTCTCTCCTTTTCTACATTCCCGATCCTCTCCTCAGGGTCAGGGTCAGGTATCTCCTCATTGCTTACCATTCTTCACCTCTTCCGCTGCCACCACTTCTTTGTTTATTTTCCATTGATAACCGAAGCAGCCGTGCCTCAGTTCTGCCCCCTTCCATGGACACATATCAGCAGACGCCAGCAATGTGTTTCAGTGAAAAGGCCAACATGTTCCTGTCTGTCCTCCTAGCAGCCAGCTCCCAGGACTGCGGATGTTTGCTTTGTCTCCCTCTGTGTATCCGTTGCTTTCTTGTGTCATACTTTGCATTTATTTAATCATCTTCACTTCCCATCTTGAAAGAACAACCTTCACTCACTGCCCTTCCCTTCATGCATCCGACTTTCCTGTATGGCCTTTGTTCATTATTGCTAAATAAACATTTATTTCTCCTCAGATTTCACACGGTCTCCGGAAATGTGAGTGCTGAAAAATTTTCAACGTAAAAAAATCAGCACATCTCTCTCTCTCACTCTCGCTCTCTCTCTCTCTCTCTCTCTCTCTCTCTCTCTCTCTCTCTCTCTCTCTCTCTCTCTCTCTCTCTCTCTCTGTGTCCGTCTGTCTACCATATCTATCTGAAACTCTAACCCTAATTTGAAACCGTATTTTGAAACCCTAACCCCTTATGATGGCCGATTATTATTATTTTTTTTTCCCCCCATAATTGCACACATTTATCTGAACACAAGTGATTGACCTCATTAATGGTTCTGCAGCTACTGATTAACGTACAAATCTCACAATCCATAAGCACTGAATGAAAAGTCATCAGGTGGTGGTAGTCAGACCTCACGCGGAGCATGCATGAATACACACGCACGCACACAAGGTGAAGACTCGCAGTGAAAAAAAAAGACATTTGTTTGGTTTCCTTGACTCTCGTGGTTTCCTCTGTTTTTCTGAACGCGCTCCGTTTCTCGCCCGCACTTGCACTTTAGGCGCCCTTTCGGCCTCCTTCCCTCACTCTGTGCAGGATTTGTGCAGTCTTGAAAGCACATGTACAAGACAAACTCTTGCGAAATGTTAATCATGAGCTGAATGAGGGAGTGCAACACAGCAGAGGGGATGCGATGTGTACGCTGAAAAAAACAATAAAAGAGAGAGTGGGAAAAGTTGAAAGAAGAGGAGGCAACAGATGAGGAACAAATGTGGACGACTTTGTAATGCTCTGAGATGATTTAAAGATGCATGCCTGGCTTTCAATCACTTGGAGGACTGCAGATGTGTGCTGGTTGCTGATGGTTTATTTCGGGTTTCAATTTTAGCCCGAACTTGTGACGAAAGCTGCAGTACAGCAAGTATGTGGTTTGACTCGCAACTCCTCCGGCAGAAGTGACTGTTGTTTCCAACTCTGAATCTTTTGCTTCTTTTATTTATCATTCTGACACACTCACTCTTGGATAGAAACGATAGCTGCAATACCATTGTGTTGACATGCTGTGCACAGCACCACTTTACAGTGTGGCACATTTTATTTGCTTTAGACCAATTCCGGTGAATTTATAAAACTGCTTTGCTGGACAATTTCCACCCTGACTCCATTGAAAGAATGATGTTTTACCTCTCGGTAATGCTATGCAACATATTTGGAATTATTTGCCTGATTAGCCAAGGTTTTTAAACAATGAAAAAAAGTGATACTGGTACTTTACTTCTTAC